GAATGTCTGTATTTTAAGACAAGTTGTGTCTTGTGCGCTCTTTTTTCCAACGTTATGGAAGGCAAGCAGGCAGGTGTGCATGTAGCGCATGTCTAATAATCGAAAACATGGATGAAATAAGAAATATGAAACAAATAAAATACAAACAAAGCAGAACACAGCTAAATGTATCAAAAGTATGTCTATGTAATATTAGAATTTCTGAGACAATGAATTTTGGTTTTTCGGGGTTTTTTTCCCAGTAAGAGGTTTTTATTTAATAGAATTTTTTGGACCAAAAATATCACAATATATCACCTTGTTTACAGTATTGAAATATATCGGGACATATCGTATCGTGACCCCTCTGTCATGATATGTATCGTATCGCCAAATTCTTGCCAATACACAGCCCTAGAAGTGACAGAGCTGAAGATGTTGAGGTTCTCCTTGAGAACATGGATGGATTAGATTAGGGATGACATCATCAGAGGATGCTGGCCAATAATGAGTCACTGCACCAGATAACACGATGTATGTCTGCGTGACCATTTCTGCACAGTAAGCACATTTACTCTGTATTTCTTGGGTTTTAATTGCATCTRTGACCAGCTCTGCATCTGTTTGTCTAAACTCAAAAGGATTCATTCACACATGTTGAAAGTTTCTAGAAGCAAACAATTCACGATGACACTGGACTGAAGATTTAAACGAGCTGAACAATTAAGCTGGCAAATAAAATGTCAAGATGTTTTGTATTTATGTTTCAACAGTGCATTATTCCAGTAAATCTAAGTTTCTCAGTCGAAAAAAAGCTGATTATTTTTGTTTGTGTGAATAATCCTGCAGATGCTCACTGACGTCTGCTTTGTGTCAAACAAAAAAAAAAAAACCCTGAATCATCAATGTTCTTTCAACTAACTACAAAGTTGTTGTTTCGTGTCATCTTTAATATTCCCTCAGTAATAAATATGTTTGTTATTAATCCTATGGTCGCTCACTGATGTCTTCAGCTCATCATTTTCTGAGCTGCAGAACTGCAAGTTGCTTTTACACAAGTTGATCTACCTGGCTTGGGTCCAGCTCTGAAACTACCTCACTTGGGGGCTCAGAGGGGCATCAGAGGCAGGCTCACTTTGCTCGCCTTTCCATGATTTTTCTGAATGATCCGATGAACTGAGCTGTCATATGAACAAGGTTCATGTTTTCCTGTCTGCGTTCTTCAGTTCTGCCACGCCCACACACACCTGTTCGCCATTCCATTTAGTTTTGCTGTCTCCTTGTCAGTCCATTTGTCCTCTCTGTCTTCGTTCACTCCTCAGTGGAACATTTTGTATTTTATACGCCACTTCCATGTCCTCCTGCCTGGTTTCCAGTTTTTCTACGTTTTTGCTGGTTTGTCAACTTTTTGTTTTGGTTACAATGAACTCAAGTTTTATTTCTCCGTGCGTAAATCTGCATCCCAAGGTCCAAACCAAGTGAAACCGTGAGAGTGGAAAATAATGTGCGTTAAAAAGAGAAAACCCAAAAGGGAGATATATATTCTTAACACATGAGGTAAGATGGCCAGGAAACAGAAAACAAACGTGTTAAAGATGGTGAGAAGGAACTAATACAGGATGTGTGAGAAATTTATGTTTTACTTTGCAGGACAAACACAAACAGAATATTTTCAGAATCAACAATTGAGTGGATTTGTTTTAGATGGCCTGTTAAAAATCATTTTACAAGAAAAGTATTAAAAAGTAATGAGTCCACAAAACAAAACAGTTCCAGCAACAATCACTGCACTACTATTACTTCTTTGGGTTAAAACCTCTGCCTATTACCATTACTTTTATTGTAATATGGAGACTTGTTTTAATAATGTTTTACAATGTATGGGTGCAAAACAAAAACAGGAAAAAGATTTGAAGGGAATTCAGAATTACCTTGATGGACAAACTTAACAACATTCTTCCATTCTGCAGAAAATGTTGCAGATTTTTTTTTATAACCCCAAATGTTTCTGTTTTTGATGTACCTGGTTTCACTCTGACAATAATATGAGCATCCTGCAGAAACCTCGTTCTGTATGCCCCTCTCAATCTAACATTTCATTTAATTAAAAACAATTTGCTCATGACTCGGCTGTGTGCATGCCTGCTCACTTCCTTTTTATTGTATTTTTAAACACGACTTTTTTAAACTTAAAGCAGTACTAACCACTAAAGGCACATTGTGGATGCAATAAATTATTTCTCTATATATCGTATCTAGGCCACAATGTTAGTTGAATTACCAATGTTATTAATGTTTTGTCATTTTTACACAATAAAATGTAGCCATAGTAACAAATGATGAGTAATGTCTATAAACAGTGGTTTATATCTGGTGAATGCTGCGTAGGTGAGGCTTATTTCTGAAAACAGCTTGATGCTTTCATTGAAGCAAATTATTAACAGTTAAAACCAATTATTATTTTTCTATCCATCTGTGAGCTAATGCTTGCAGCTCTCTGTTTCACACCGAGTGAACAGAAATCATCCCATATTGAGGTAATTATTGTAAAACGTACCTGGTGCAAAAACAGATTTAACTTTGGCGTTGAAGCCAGGCAAACTCATATATTCTCACGCTCCAAGTTATGATTTCTCTTTTATCTTTGGAAACGTCTCTTTGTGTGTTCTGCAAACTCCTAGGAGCATATCTATCTTATTATCAGAGATAGATATTGCAGAGAACTGCTTTTAAATTCTTTAGCACTCATATCTATCTCTTCAGGTCTTTTAGAATAATCCTTGAGTTTTGAACTCACAGCCACTAAACAATCCATCCTGTCTAACTCTGTTTATCTGTGATCTCATTGCAATCATACTGCACGCTGTTTTATCAGGCTGCAATTACCAGTGCTGTCTTCTTTTGCTGACCAACGCCGTTTGTGAAACATTGTTCAGGTTTGCTAGACAGGATGCTTCATCCAACCATGGGTTTTTCAGGGATTCTACACGCAGCGGCAGGGAACTCTGAACCCCCAAAATTAATATTTCACTGGACTGTGACCGTTGGAGACACAATGGGCCTCATGCAAGAACATGTTCGTATTCTTATCCTAAATTTCTCTTACTTTTGTTCGTACAAAGGGTTCGTACGAACATGTCACAGGTCTGGACCACTCGTGAATTTTGTTCGTGTCTGAAAAAAATCTTAGAATACGAAAACATTGGTGAATGT